ATAAAATGTATAACGATGACTATTTAAAGAAACGTTTATAATGCGCATTTGCTCGGGAGAGGTTTCCATACCCTTATAAACAATGTTTATAATATGCATCGGCTAGGAAGAGGTTTCCACACCCTTATAAATAATATTGTGTTCCCCTCTCCAACCGATGTGGGATCACACAATTCACCTTCTTCGAGGTCCAGCGTTCTCGCTGGTACTAGTTCCCTTCTTCTGGGTCCCCTCAATCCACCCCCTTTAGGGTCCATTGTTCTTACTGACACACATCGCCTCGTGTTTACCCCCTTTCGAGGCTCAGAGTCCTTGCTGGCACACCGCCCGATATCTGGCTTTGATACAATTTGTAACGGTCTAAGCCCACCACAAGTCGATATTATTCTATTTGAGTTTTTTCTTTCGGGCTTCCCCTCAAAGTTTTTAAAACGCGTTTACTAGGTAGAGGTTTCCACACTCAATGTTTTGTTTCCATCTCCGACCGACGTGGAATCTCACAAAAGCACTAACATTTTTTCCAGTAGAAATGCCAGAAATGCTTCCCAGTTAATAATTTTTCCTAAAAATATTTTTCACGATTAATTTCTTAATGCATGCATGTTTTCCCTACTCGTAATTCGTCCATGATGATTAATGTTCGATTTTAAACAAATCGAGCTTTTCGACTCACATCAATCAATTTTATGCGAAGATTGAGCTCCTCAAGAACAAGTTTGGATTTGACGAAGCATTCAACTACAAAGAAGAACCCAACTTGGATGCAGCTCTCAAAAGGTTCATACTTTCATAATTCCTTAAACAAATTCTCCATTTCTTAAGCTCAAGAACTAATTGAAGAAGTTGGTATCATTTATGGGGCAGATACTTCCCAAAAGGCATAGATATCTACTTTGAAAACGTGGGAGGCAAAATGCTGGATGCCGTTCTTGGGAACATGAGTATCCATGGAAGAATTGCAGTGTGTGGAATGATATCACAATATAATCTGGAGAACACAGAGGGAGTACACAACTTATTGAATATTGTTTTGCAGCGAATTCGTATGCAAGGCTTTGAATGTTTTGATTACTACCATCGCTATTCTGAGTTTTTGGATGCTGTTTTGCCGCTCATTCGTGCGGGGAAGCTTAGTTATGTGGAGGACATAGCCGATGGCCTCAACGCTGGCCCTGCCGCTCTTGTCGGCCTCTTTTCTGGCCGCAATGTTGGGAAGCAAGTCGTTGCTGTGTCGGCTCAATCTTGCAATTGAATCACTTGTTTGGAGATTGTCTTTCATGTTTGATTTGTATTGTCTTCCTTGAATTTCCCTTTCTTTTCTTGAAAATTGCAAAATAATGTTGGAATATGAATGCGAAATTGAAGCTCGAGGTTAGAAATTACTATCTCCATATTGTTTATTTTGAGTATAAGTTCTCTAGGTAGTGTTCATTACCCTTAATCGGAACTCGACTCCTTCTCTAGAGTCCTCGAACAAATTACACCATTTTGACTACACCTTCAAGATTCACAACTTCACAACGTCTTTGTTCGACATTTTAAGATTCTATTGACATGACTAAGTTAAGGGCATAGCTCTGATACCATGTTAGGAATCACGTACCTCCAGAATGGTATGATATTGTTCACTTTGAGCATAAACTCTCGTGACTTTACTTTTTGGTTTCCCCAGAGGGCCTCATATGAATGGAGATACTGCTCGTTACTTCTAAATCCGTGATCAATCCTTTAATTAGTTGATGTGGGACTCATCTCCCAACAATCCTCACCATTTCACTCGTTTCATAGAATAAACCCGAACTTATTGTTAAGTTTTTAAAAAATGTATCTTTTTCTGTTTATGATTCAATTTTTATATCCCAAACAATGTATCTAAACAAATGTTCAAATTCGATTCAATCAAACCCGACTATGCATGAATATCCATACCTTTTAGTCCTTTATTAAATAATTGCTTTTATGGAAAAGTTGGCAATAAAACTACTTTATTTGGTCCATTGTGTATAGATTGAGCTACTCATAATTAAGTTTGGATTTGATTAAGGCCATTAATATCACTTATTTAATTAATGGTTTAACCATAACCTAATTTTATTTATTAATAATTTTAGTATTTTAAAATATCTTAAGAGGGAGCTTAACTTTGTATCTATGGTGCTACCTTACATCCGCGATGCTTCGTTAGGTCACCCGATTTGATGTGTATTCTATTGTTCTATGTGGCTCGGAGGTTTGAAGGAAATACAAGTGCACTCGGGCTCCATAATTGATGTCGTCATCCATACATGGGTGTCATACTTTTACCTAGAAAAAGACGGATTCTCCTAGCTTTCGTCTCTCAGTGTCAATGTCGGGCCAACAAACTGCTTTCGCCGTTGGTGTTCTTTTCGATCTCTACGCATGCATTTCACTGCTCCGCTGAAAATTTCCTCTGCCCCTACCATACTCTAGCTTGGTAGTTTCCACTGCCTATCCAGAGTTGAGCACTGAGATTTGACAGCGGACTTAAAAAGCCACCGACAAGCGCTTTACGCCCAATCATTCCGGAGTGTAGTTTGAGTATTTAAAAATACTTAGTAAATAGATGTAACAACCCTATTTTTCCTAATAAAATTGAGACGCCACTATGTGCGTGACGTGATTACAAAATTTATTTAAAACATTTCATAAGCGGTGCCATGGATTTAAACATTCGTGAAATCTATTTCAAGTTCAAAGTAATAGAAATCGCTCTGATCTAACCTAAGAGATACAATTAAGTAGAAACGCAACTACCCTAGTGATTTAATGTCTTCATACCTTTACCCTAGCAATTTAATGAAATAACACGTCATCTGTATAGAGGTATCTTACCTTTACCTGAAAAAGAAGTAGCACGTGACTTGCGTAATTAACAATACTCAAGAAGTGACTATTGTTGAGGTTGGAAAATGCATCACAAGTAATCATGTTGGGACGTATCTTTTCATAAAAACATTTCATAGCCTTTTAACTCTATTTTCCAATCCAGGCAAACACTACACATGACTCACGCACGCGTGCATGGATCTACCAACTATGGTAAAATTAGCATCGGTATATCCTCGCTTAAGCTAGGGGAAGCACACCCCATACGTTGCCATCTTGGTCTCAACAGAATTATTCTTGACTTGCACAGATTAACCACAACATTTCCTCGTCCACATCTCTTACTAAACTCTTTTAGTGGAGTCCATCCACTTGTTGGAAGTACACTTCAGCAAACTTTTTACTTCGTCATCTTCATAATGTGATTATGTTCCTGAGAAAGTAATCGAGGACGATGATTAGTTTAAGTGAGAGAGAGTGTCGCAACCATACTATGAATATAGTAGATTGTGCCTCCCATATGCAGACAGATAAGGCGGTGACACGGAAGTGACGCCAACCGACCAAGTGAGAGTCGAGACAAGTCAAGTGCCATACAATTGGTGAAGAACCCAATTTATAATTCACAGATAAAAAATATTAGAAGGCGATATCATTCATTTGTAGGTCAGTAGAAGAAGGTGATATGTGTTTTGGGAAGATAGACAGTGCATCCAACGTAAATGTTGACAAAATGTGTTGATGTTGGAAAATTGAGGTTGTACAAAGCATTGACTAATCTTATCTATAGCTTCTATAAATGTTGTGGCGCGGTGAAGATATTGATGATGGGAGGATCTTTTGAGAATGAATTTTAGATTGATTGGACCAATCTCGCGGGGGAATTGTTAGGTTGTGGAACCTGATGTTTACTTATAGGTTAAGTTCATTTGAGCCCAATTCAGATTTCGATGATTCGGCTCCAAACACAATGGGTATTTCGATGTCAATTCAAAAATTTATGGGTTAAACTCAAATAATACAAAACCACATGGTCTAACCATTTGCATGAACCACCAATAAACACATCTACAATGACCTTATAGTTGCACATTAAAAATTCAAAAATCAGAGAAATAGTCCAAAATATAAAAAATTTTGAGAAAAAACATCACAGAATAAAAAAAACTTGAAAAATAAACATCGGAAGGCTACTTTTCTAAAACAACCAAGTTAGTGATTCAAGCTAATTAGAAACTATGGGCTGTTGACATTAAGGTAAGTGTGCGATGAAATTGGAGAAAAATTAACTAATATGGCTGCAAATGGGACAAAACATCAAGCGCCCAAATAATTGTCACGGTTGCACATTTTCAACCTTAAGCGTTGTGATCTTGACACGCTCACGACAAGTCTTGAGGAGACCCAAGTCCTATATTAATTTTTTGCCTACTTTTGTGGCTTCATCGAACCTAAGGCGAGGGTTGTCTTTGTCAACTGAACATAATTTGTGGGGAATCCAAGTTTGTTCGGCAACACACACCGTCTATATGTGCATGTTCAATCTTCTGCAATCCAACTAAGTCATCCGGCTTGACCTTGCCTCTATTCGAGGCTAAGGTCTCTCATATGCAACATTGCATCTCAAATCATCTTTGTTTCCAATTGAGTGGTTTATGTATCATGATGTTGTCCCATGTCTCGGGATAGCTTGACCATCTTAGCTTACTCAAACATATCAATCGGAACTGACCCCGTGTGATTCATTTCGTCGGGACATCTCAAACATTCGTCCATCCGAGTTCTATCAAGACATTGGATCTTTCTGTGTCCATGCTAAACCCTTTACGGAATCTATTACGGATAGTGGGTGTGTAAACAACATTACGATCCATGGGTTGATCCATCGGCCTCCAAACCTCAATAAAATTCAAAGAATTTAAAATTTAAAAGAAAATCGAAAAATTAATTCTGGTCAGAACTCGAGTGTTACAATTTAATGGGCAAAATCAATTCCTTTGAATTTTTTAGGTTTTTATTCTCTTAAGCCTTTTAATGCTTAGTTGCATTGACCTTTGATTTTTATTTTTAATATGGATAGATTATCTATCAAAACTTGGGTGATTACATTCATGGCAATAAAGTATACTTAGGAAAAAGATAGAACACCAATTATCACAATATTATTAAGGAACGGAACTGTGATACACTGCCCAATACGCCAATACCATATTTAGATTTCTCTATACTAAGCAACTAGACAACTAGGAGGTTTAACCACATCAGAGGCAGTTCCTTGGGCGTTTTTGCATGAAGCTTGAGCAATTTGATTACCATAAGTCAGATTAATATCTTTCAAGCTTAGTCGAGTGCAAGGATTTGTTGGGCTACAATCAAAGTTTATTGCTATTTCAGTGGCTGATGTTCCCGTGATGTCTTCGTATGTTACTTCACTGACTTTAACTCCCGAACCCTATTCATGCAAAGAAGAACAATCAAAATATAGAATGATATAAAACCTTCTCAAAGTAACTATAAAATGAGTAAATGCATGTAAAGAATAAAATAAATCAATTACTTATGGAACGATATTTTGTTCATTAAATTTAAAATTAAATATACCTGACTAGGGCAATTTTGTTTATGCGGACAGTAATTTTGATCAATTACAATAGGGTTGCTCACATTATTTATAATAATGTGCTTGAAATAAATATCTCTAGCAAACCCGCTGCTTGGTCGTCCCCAAGTCTTAATCCTCACTCCATTCTGAGTCCCTGTCAAAGTAGATGATGTAACCGTCACATTTTTCACTCCGTTCTCTTCCACCTCCTTCCCCAAGCTTCCAATGCTGCAAAACACATTCAACAAAATACCACATTTTTTCATTAGGTTTTGTTTCTTCGTTCTAATGTAATGTATTATATTGATCGGTAGGTAATTGTGAAACGGATAATAACTTTTCTCATATATAAAATAGCTCTAAAACGTGTCTCTTTTCATTTAAAATCCATTTTATTATTTGGATTTATACTTTCAAACCAATTTTTCGTACCATGGAAATCACTTCTAAATATGTTGTTGGTTGGCATCTATCTTTACCTACCTGATTCCATGTCCAGGTCCACATGTAATACCTTCTATCCACAAGTTAGAGGCCCCTGAGGCGATTGAGATGCAGTCATCACCTGTGGCGATGTTTGAGTTAAGAATGGTCACGTCTGATGATTGTACTACATGGATGCCGTCTGTGTTCGGACTATTGCCAGGGTCAGAGACTTTAATTCCTTGCATTTTCACGTTTTGGCAATCATTTACCACAAAGTTGTACATTTGACTATTAACCGAAGACAATCCACTAATGATTACGTTTTGTACATTTGAGAGTTGAAGATTCTGCAAATTCAAAACAACCCAAACAAACTTTCACCTAAAGAAAATTTTCAGATTTTGTAATATCTAGCCAACTTAAATTTTGCATACCGTGACTCCATCGGGACAACTCTCCTTTGAGCGTTTACAGTTCCATAAGTCCGTTCCTTGTCCATCAAGAACACCGCCAGAAATGGAAAGCCCATTTACGTTTTTAAACCAAATCCAAGCTTTAGTATCAGCTAGAACTGTCATGTCTGAAGAAGCCACAAGAGTACCATTGATGCTAATAGTAATAGCATTGTTCTTACAAGGCCCATTAAAACTACCACTTTTAACGTAGAATGTGCCATTGGGAACGTAAATAGTTGCTGGTGTTGATGAGCCACAGGCCTTGGTCCATGCCGTTTGAAGCGCAAACGAGGCGTCGGTCTTCCCATCGGGCTTAGCTCCAAGACTAACAATATCAAATGTTAATCCATTAGCCAAGGCATGGTTCAAAAACAAAAGCCGAAGGAAAATAAGAAACTTTAACATTTCAAAAAAAGCTAAATTATTCAAGTATTTGTAATAAGTTCAACAAGAAATGGAAGTAAGTGATAGGAAAATGGACGAGATGTGGAGTGATATTTATAGGCTAATTTTTGTTTGCATGTTAAAATCATTTAGAGAATCATAATTACCATTTTAGGACTCAATTTAGGCAACATCCAGAGATTTTAATTTATTTGACACTTTCCTAATTTGAGATGACCAATCTTGAGTGTTACTTTTTCTTGTTCTATTTCTGTATTTTTATTTGTAACCATCGTTATGTCACAATATCTATATTTTATATAGTGAAGTGCTAACATTTGTGAATATACGTCTAATTAGTAGATAGAATATTAATTACCATTTTAATGATCGATTGTTCGATCTCTCCATTTTATGATTATTGAACGAAGAAAAAACGTTCCAAAGGAACAGAGGAGATCACAAGGACAAAAACCCTAATTTTCCTAAGAATTGTTTCTAAAAAAAAGACAATATATATTCAACGTTAGAGATTCCAAACAAAATGAATACGAAATTAATGAACTTCTCGAAGTAACCCACATTTTTTATTATCGTTCATTGTTGTGTTTCCTTTTTTGTGTTATGTATTAAGTTTTGAAATAAGTTCTCAACATCTTACCATATAAGAATTTTTTACTACTTTTACATGTTTACGTTTTTGGACAGCTAAGTCCAAAATAATCTGTGTGCCAATTTATATTAACATGATTTATCTTTTGAACACGAAATTTAAATTTTGATTTAAGGTAAGTTTTTTTTATTGAATTTATACGGTAAACATTTAACTAACCCAAAATAAAAATAAAAATATAAAAAAGAAAAGAAAAGAAAATGAAAGTTGTCTAAAATCTATTAGGTTGAGGAAGTGGGAGGTGGATTTTATAACAAAAGGAGGTCTAGTGGTTTTCCAAGTTACAACAATTGTTTTCCTTGGTTCCACTTTAGCAGTTCGAAGCTAGTTCTGACGACTTCACATTCTTACCCTTTCCTACTAGTTTCAACTCTGACGACTCTTCGCTCGTACCCTTTCTTACTAATTTTCGTACCCCTTCCTACTAATTTCAACTCTTCGGAAGCATTTAAGATTAGTATGACTTACTAATTTTCGTACCCTTTCCTACTAATTTCAACTCTTCGGAAGCATTTAAGATTAGTATGACTATGTTTAAATTATTTGGAGACAAGTTTAAATGACTAATTTGGTTTGGGTTTGATATGCTCCTACCCTTTGCTACTAATTTCAACTCTTTGGAAGAATTTAAGGTTAGTATGACTATGTTTAAATTATTTGGAGACAAGTTTAAATGGGAGAGATATATACGGTAGATATTTCGTAAAGAGATATATAATAAAGATATTTCGTAAAGATTTGGTAGATTATATCTTCTAGGCTACTAAATTTGTTAAAGCTATATTTAGTAAATGGAAACCATATATATAACTCATTAGACAGTAGTCTCAAAATGTATTTTCTTCCTTCTCTGTACTCTCTCTTGGTGGTGTACATACCTGAAGTCATCAATAACACCTGTAGTCAATATCTCTCCTGTTCTTGGTGTTCACACCTGCAGTCAATATCTCTCCTGTTCTTGGTGTTCATTTTGATCGAGTGTCTGCGTTGTTGTGCGATCCTAGCAACTGATATCAGAGCGAGACAAAATTCACCACGATCTGTGAAGATGGAAAGTTCAAATATTGGAATTGAAAAGTTTGATGGATCCAATTTCGGTTTCTGGAAGATGCACATTGAAGATTGTTTGTACCAGAAAGGTCTTCACGAACCTCTGTTGGGAGTGAAGCCAGATACTATGACCACGAAGCAGTGGAAGCTCAAAGATCGACAAGCCTTAAGGTTGATCTAGTTGAAGCTATCCAGAAACGTGGCGTTTAACATCATCAAGGAGAAGACAACGTCAGATCTATTGAAGGTGTTGTCAAATAGGTACGAAAAACTGTCAGCTATGAACAAGGTATATTTGATGCGGAGGCTGTTCAATCTACAAATGTCTGAAGATGGATCTGTTGCTAATCATATAAACAAATTCAATATGATTATAAGTCAACTGAGTTCGGTGGAAATTAATTTCGAAGATAAAATTAAGGGACTGATTTTGATGTCATCTTTACTCGAGTCGTGGGATACTGTTGCCACGATTAGCAGTTCCTGAGGATTTGAGAAATGAAAGTTTGATGAAATCCGAGATGTAGTTCTCAACGAAAGTATTTGCAAACAAGAAATTGGGGATTCATCTAGTGGTGCTTTGAGTGTTGACCAAAGGGGAAGAAGTAAATCGAATGGCCCAAGCAAAGGTCAATCAAAATTAAAAAATCGGAGAAAATCTTCAAACAAATCAAACGTAAAGTGCTAGAGTTGTGGAGAAAAGGGTGAGTTTTGGGCAGATTGTACAAAAAGGAAGCAGAATCACAAATTAGAGGATGACGATGATTCTATACATTCAGCAGAAGACATTGGGGATGCTCTAATCCTTAGGGTGGGCAGTTCGATTGAATTCTGGATTTTGGATTAAGGTGTATCTTTTCATTCATCTCCAGACATAGAGCTCTTTCGAAATTTCAAGTCTGAAAGTTTCGAGAAGCTATATCTTGCTGACAACAAAAATTTAGAGATTGAAGGAAAAGGGGATGTATGCATAAAAGCTCCGGCAGGAAATAAGTGGATATTAAAGGATGTTAGATATATTTATGGCCTCAAGAAGAATCTAATCTCTATTGATTAGTTGGATAACACAAGTTATGCAACAGAGTTTGGGAAGAGTTCGTGGAAGATTGTGAAGAGTGCTATGGTGATAGCATGTGGCACAAACTCTAGAACCTTATACACCACTGCAGGGTGTACAAAAATAACTGTTGTTGTTGAGAGGGCTTCAAATTCAAGTCTATGGCATAATAGACTTAGACATATGAGCGTTAAAGAAATGAAGATGCTAGCTCCAAAAGAAGTTTTGGAAGGTCTGAAATCTGTTGATATGAGTCCTTGTGAGAATTGCGTTATGAGCAAACAGAAACGAATTAGTTTCACAAAGACTGTCAGAGAATTAAAGAAAGGTTCCGAGACAACGAAGTAAGTGAGAGTTAAGGTTGAGTTGCTGAAAGATTCACCTAGTGATGTTGCAGCAGATACTCGAGAAACCCCTGAGATTGTTGCTGAGGAACCAGAAGCGGAGCAAGTGACACCTGAGCAGGTGTTAAAAAGATCATCCAGAGCTATTAGAGTACCAGATAGGTATGTACCTTCTCGATCGGTTGGTGACTGATGAAGGGGAACTAGAGCCCCTTGATGAAGCCCTACAGTTGGAGGATACAACCAAGTGGTAGACAGTCATGGATGATGGAATGTCTAGGCTTCAGAAATGCGTTGCTCTTTTATCTGTTGAGGCTGAGTACGTTGCAATAGCTAAAGCTAGAAAGGAGATGATATGGATGACAGACTATTTAGAAGAATTAGGCAAAAAGCAGCGCGAGAAGATTCTTCAGGTATCTTTAGATTGTCATGCAGTTGGTGAGGAACCCGGTCTATCATTTAAAGACAAAACACAGAAGGCGACGATACCATTTCACTTGGAAGTTAGTGGAAGATGGTGATGTGTTTGGAGGAGATAGAGGGTGTGCAAAGAATTCAGCAAACATGTTGTGATGATGTTCGAAAGTTGAGGTTGTGCAAAGCCTCAATTGGTATGGTGTAGATTGAGAATGAAATTCTTGGTTGACTGGATCAATGTACGTGTGAGATTGTTTGGATATGGAGTTTAATGCCTATTTATAATAAAGATCTGTTAAATATATATATGGTAGATATTTCGTATAAATTTGGTAAAGATGTATTTGGTAGGATATATCGAGGCTAAATCTGTTAAAGTTATATTTAGTAAACAGAAACCATCAATTTACCATTAGGCAGTACTCTTACAATGTACTTTCTTCTTTCTCTGTATTCTCTATTGGTGTACATGCGTAAAGTCATCAATAAAACCTTTAGCCAATATTCCTCATTGAATTTTCCCTCTACTATTCTTTATGTTCATCTTGATCAAGTGTGTGCGTTGTTGTGCGATCCTAACGAACGATTCCAAGTCAGCATTCGAGTGATTTGGCTTGGATTTGATACGCTTGGACCCTTTCCTATTATTTTCAACTCTATGAAAGCATTTAAAGTTAGTATGATTACCTAAATTATTTGGATACTTCGTTTAAATTATTTAGAGATAAGTTTAAATTACGATTCCAAGTCGACATTTTGGGTGATTTGGCTCGTGTTTGATACGCTCAGACCCTTTCCTATTAGTTAGTTTCAACTCTTAGAAAGCGTTTAAAGTGAGTATGACTACCTAAATTATTTGGAATCATGTTTAAATTATTTAGTATGACTATTTTTAGCTAGTTTAAATTATTTAAAGGAAGTTTAAATTATTTTTATGCAAAATTAAGTGACCGAATTCCCACCGTAGAATTATGGAACTACATAGGTAGAATTAAATTTCATAGAGCAATTTAAGCCATCAAGAGGTAGTAGTAGCTTTAACCTAGGCCAACTAAGTAATTGCCTCTACTATTGGTTTGGTTGGAAGAATTTATTATGTATGATGACACGTGTCATATGTGTGATATGCTTTAATATGTGATGTGATGTGATGTGATGTGATGTGAGATGTCATGTTTTGTTACGATAAGTTATGTTATGTTATGAGATGCAATGATGTATTAAGATGTGTTATATTAGGCCATGATATTCTATGATGTGCAATGATCTGTTTTGAAATAAGAAAATCTACAAAAGTTATGTTATATATGAAATGATTTTATAAAAGGTTATGTACGCATATTACCGAGTTTAATATGTGATGAAAGAATGGGGAGTGTCTTGCATTATTTATTACGCCATGATGGAAAGTGTGGGGACCTTATGCATAATTGTATTTTTACATGCATTAGAATACTTCTCTTTATGATGAGTACGGACGTGTACACCATAAGACTAAAATGATTATCATGTTTACCATGATGC